GCAGACAGTGGCTCTGTTTGTCCACATTTAATTCAAGTCAAAGGAAAGAATCGATATCGTGGGAAGGTTGAAAGAGTTGGGGAACTTATTTATGAGAGACTCTGCGGTCCAGAAGACCTGGAGGGAAGGAATTCAGAGAGACAATAGAGGGAATCAGGGGCACAGGAACATCGTGGGAATATTCTGAAAGCCATTACTGAAAGATGGTTGTTTCGTTTGTTTTGGAAACAGATGGGGTCAGTAGGTGGGTCATTATTGTTACTTTTTTCCACATGTGTTTATGTGGGCATGCATGTGCCACAGCTAATGTGTTGAAGTCAGATGACAGCTTGTGGAAGTAGGTTCTGATCCTCCCCCACGTGGATCCCTGGACAGAACACAGGTCGTCGGGCTCCATGACAAGTGTCTTGACTGGTTGAGCCATCGTATGCCGGCCCTGGACCATTGTCTCTCTCTCTCTCTCTCTCTCTCTCTCTCTCTCTCTCTCTCTCTCTCCTCTCTCCTCTCTCCCCTCTTTCTTGAAACAGGGTCTCAATATGTGGCTCTAGCTGGGTGGGAACTCACTATACAGACCAGGTTGGCCTTGAACTCACAGAGCTTTGCCTGCATCTGCCTCCTAACAACCTGGGCTATTGTTATTAAGGAAGAGTCCACAAGGACTTATGCAACAGTTCCCTAGATCATCTACAACAGATGAAGGCTAGCGTTGTTAAAATTGCCTCTGAGTGGAGGAGTCAGTTCCTTTTTCCAGGGTCTGTTAGACATGGAGTTAAGAAGTTGCCATTGAAGGGGCTTAGAGAGATAGCTTAGCGGTTAAGAGCACTGGCTGCTCTTCCGGAGGTCCTGAGTTAAATCCCAGCAACCATGTGGTGGGTCACAACCATATGTAATAGAATCTGATGCCCTCTTCTGGCATGCAGGTAAATATGCAGAACATTCACACATAAAATATAAATAAATTATTTAATTAAAAAAAAAAAGAAGCGGTCATTGGCTTTAAAAACTTTAGTTTCTCCCCTAAGGAAATCATCGAAAGGGATCATCTCCCCTCAAGTGTGGAATGGCAGAAGTGTGGCTGAAGGTGACAGGTGTGTCTGTCTCTCTCAAAAAATCAAATATGGGCAAGATATTCTCAGACCCATCACCAGACAAAAAATGAACACAAACGCCCATGAAAAAGTGATTGAAAGTGATCGACATTGGCGTTCGACAAGACGGTGTAAAACAAACCCCAAGGAGAGTGGCTAAAATCTCAAAATCTCCCAACATCACATTTGCCACTTGGTGTGTAGACCAAGCAGAGGTTTCCTGCACTGTTGTGCAAACTAGGAGACTCTCGAAGTTAAGCACACACCTGTCCCTTGACCTAGCTGTTTTACTTCTAAATCTTTTTTTTTTTTTTTTTTTTTTTTGGTTTTTCGAGACAGGGTTTCTCTGTGTAGCTTTGCGCCTTTCCTGGAACTCACTTTGTAGACCAGGCTGGCCTCGAACTCACAGAGATCCGCCTGCCTCTGCCTCCCGAGTGCTGGGATTAAAGGCGTGCGCCACCACCGCCCGGCCCTACTTCTAAATCTTAAACACACATGTAAACAAACAAACAAAAAAAAAATCAAACAAAAAAACTGGTGTGTAACACTATTTGTAGAAGCTTACATTGGGGGAGGGGAATAAATTGGGCATGTTTGCACAACGGGACACTTCAACTTCTGACACACATAACACTATGCATGAGTCTCTGGAAACAGAAATCAGTAACAAAAGTGCACAAACACTGTACATTTCCATTTCTATGATGTTCTAGAAGTAGCTAAGAACCAGCTAAGCTGACAAAGCTCAAAACAGCGCAGGTATGGAGGAAGCAGCTAGAAGATGTCCAGGGGACTTTCTCAGGCAGATGGAAGTGCACCTTCTAGTCAGTTCCTACCTGCCTCTGTGTACCTGGAGGAATATAGAGATGCCTCAGTGAGATGGGAGAGAACTGGTGTCTGTGAAGGGGAAGGTTTGGCCTTTTTCCTCACACATTCACATATTGATCCTCCAGTCAATGGCTTGTTGCGGAAAATCCGTAGGCTGAGAGTGATAATAAGTGGCCAAGATAATACGGGCTGAATATGTTTTTCTTGTAGTAGAGTCCAAAGTGCCCGAAATGCATCACTTAATGGGAGGAATTGTAAGGGGTGTAAGTATATCATTGCTCTGAAGATGACTGGATATGACTATCTTTGTGGTTCCAGCTCTTTCTTCCCCAGTCCCTTGGGGCTGGAGCAAAAATCTCGACTTCCTGTGCTGTCTAGCATTGGCTCAGAACTTTGCTAAATGGTTAAATAAATAGAGGAGTTTTGGCAGCAGAGGATAGGGTTTTGCAGGTGTCTGCAAAGCAGTTTACTCAGAGTTGGTTTTCTTTCCAGTTTTGGTTGGAGCCATTGTGGGTTGAAACCTGGCTGGCTTTGTATGGCTAGATCGCTGGCCCTGTTCCTTCCCACGCACCTGTTGTAAACCATCACCTCCCATCTTAGAGCAAGCAGCTGGTACAGTGGCAGTTGAGAGGCAGCTGGTGGGAGGTAGGACAGACCTGCATCCCTTGCCTGGCCCTTCCAATCTCTAATCAAGGCTCTCACCTCACTATGACTTCCCCCTGGTGGCCTAGGTTCATAACAGACTCCATGTCAACACTAATACTAACTACCATTCACTCCCTTTTGTTGTGTGCCAGGGATGTGCTGTTTGGCTTTACCAAGTCCATCTAGCAAGTCACTGAGGGACGTGCAACTACCCCACCCCACCTCATTTCACAGATGAGAAACTCAAGATCAGGGAGTGTTGAACAATTAGGCGAATAGAAAGACAAGGTTGAAATGTGGATTTGGGTGTCTGCAGCTCCAGAGCCCAGGTTCAGGTTGATCCTACTCTTGCGGGGGGGCAGTTTTGTTTTTCGTTTTCAAATCGAGGGAATAGTGAGAAGGGAGGACACTTTAATTGGAGCACAGTCAATGAACAGAACTTCCATGACAGGTGTGGGTGAAGGTTGACAGGGATGGGGGTGGGGGTAGGCATCACTGTGATAAGCTGAGGAGCCATGGGATGGATGAGAGGGTGAGTCCTGAGTTGGGGCCAGTGGGGCAGTAAGAGGCCCTGTGGCAGAATGGTCACAAAGTCATCACCGTCACCACGAAAGACAGTGTCTGGCATCTGGTGCTGTCTTTACCTGGAGGGTTTCTGAGTTCTAGCACTGTGAGAGGGGTACAGGTAGCATCATTCCCATTTTACAGACTGGGAAACTGAGGCTCCCAGAGGCTTGACTTCAAATCCTGGTATTTTATGTTCTTTCAAGGGGATAGAACTTGACTTCTTTTTTCTTCACTCTCTTCCTTTCTAGAACCCTGCTGCCCGATAGCTGCCTGCCTTTGCTTTAGATTTCACTCCCTAGCTCTTCCATGGTGCCACAGCTGTTGTCCGAATGAGCTGAAATGTGGGATCAGTACAAATGGGGTTCTCATATCCAGTAAATGCAAGGGCAAAGTGGTTAGCCAAATTCGATTTCAAATCAACAATAGATACTTTTCAGCATTAGAATGATCTAACACCGATTTGGATATCACATACCCCCAAACGCATCCATTGTTGACAAAAATTCAAATGGAACTGGGTGCCCTGTGCACAACACACTTAGTTACCTCAATGTTCACAGAGGCCCCACAGTGTTGCTTCCCTCGGGCCTGGAGTTATCTGACTCCCCTGTCCCTCCTCCCCAGACCCTTCCACCTAGAGAGCTCTGATAGGAACTGGGCTATTCTGGGAATTGCAAGGACCTGATGACATGGAGGAGAGGAGAGGGCACAGATGACCTCAGAGTAGGGAGGCTGGCCCAGCCAACAGACTGGTAGGGAGAGCAGAAGGCAGGCCACAGGCTTTGCATAGTGGATTGGCAATGACTTCATATTCCTGAGCAGGACCCAGTGTGGGTGGGAAGTAGATCTCTCTCTCTCTCTCTCTCCCTGAATTTCCTGCAGTCACCCTGCTCAGCTCCTGCTGCCTCATGCCCATCCCCAGGGTCTTTATCTCCTCCCGCTGTACTGCCCCACTTCCAAGAGTTCATTTGGTGATGTCTACCCCCCTGATAAGGTGTATGTGGCCCTGCGCCTGGCCCGATAGTGTAGAGACTCGAGAGCGTGTGGAGTATGTTGCTGCTATCAACATGGCCTCGCCACCATCTGTCCCCAGCTCACAGCACCCTCAGGAAGGGGACTTTCTTCTCTAAGGTCAGAGCTAGCTGGAGGACGCCACTCACCTTCCTCTGCAGGCCACACGGGCCCTGTGGGGCTGGCTACAGGGTGGGAAAACAGCTCCGGGGATGTGATGCGTGGTTCCATTTGGCTTTACTGAGGGGCGGAGTCCCCATGGCCCTCCTCTGCCTGAGCGAGCTGAGGCTTTGTGTGTGTTTTTATGTACCTGTCTTACCCCCTCCTTTCTGAAATGAAGACTGCCCAAGCCAGGGTACTTCACCTTGTTTCCCTGGCACCTGCCCAGGGTGCCAGTCACACCTGCGGGAAGGAGGGCCAGACCTGCAGCTGCTGAGGTTGGGTGTAGGATGCCCAGGGGACAGTCTGTACCCAGTATTCTGGGGTCTATGGGTGTCCTTGCACTTCACAATTGGGTGCTTTTGCTCCCGCTAGGGCAGAGGATCCCTGCTTACTCCTTCCAAGGGTGGAAGGCTAGGAGTTCCCCAAGCAGGGTGGCCTTCTCTGCACATGGTATCTTTTTTCCAGGTGTACAGTAAGAGGCACCCTGGCTCACCCCACTTCTGCCTGTCTTTCAGGGCAGTCCCAGCAGCCTGCTTGAAGCCGACTTCATCCCATCTCATCTCTGATAGTCACACTGCCTTCCAACTCCACTTCGGAGACTTAACATACTCTAAAGCAAACTTCAAACCTTCCTTCTTCCAGAGAGACACAGTGAAGGGCTGGGAGTGGGGTGGGGGTGGAGGGCTGTCTTTTCCTTACCGTGCACAGTGTCCCGGGGGAAGCTGGGGGACCTGGGACTCGGTCGGCGCTCACGCAAGGAAGAAGCTGGCAATGAGTTTCTGCTCAAGTCCTTCATCCCAGCTCGAGAAAGCCACCCTGGCCACATCCAGAGTCAGTGTGCTGCGAATCCCAGCCACTGAGCAGACTCCGGCAGGGATGAGCTCACCAGGATGTGGCCTAATGGGTTAACTCTTTGCAAGCTGTTGGCACGGGCACTTGAATGTGGCTTTCTCAGCTCTGCTCAGCCACTATTAGATAAATCTTGTGAAAAATTAATGAAGCTTTTCTGCAGTGTGCCTTTGAGCTTCAGTAGAAGTGTGTATTTGGCTGGTGGCGGATGGGCAGGATGACTCCTGACCTAGGCTCAGCAGGCCTTGGAGGTTCTGGGTTGGAGGAGGCTTGAGGTGGTGGTAGGTTGGTTACCTGTTCTGTCTGGTTCAGAGCCTGCTGAAACTGTGTTTGGGACAGGAGCGATAGTGAGATCTGGGCCTCTCTACCTGCTTTGGCTGTTGGAGGAGTATATGTAGAGCTAGGGAAACAACTTTAGTTCCAAGATGGGAGGAATGCCTCTTGGAACATCCCAGTACTCACACTCATGATGGTCCCCTTCATGGCAAAATGTCAGGAGTCTAGGTGTCTCTTGGTGGGGGGCAGTGGCAAAGCAGCTCCCTCTTGCTTCTCTCATCTGGCCCAATAGTACCCCCCCCCCCCATTGCTCTTTTTGTGAGATGCCAGTTATAATTGTGAAGATAAGCGAGCCAATCATGGCAAAGTGGCAGAAAGCCTTCCACTGTGTAACCCCATCAGCCTGTGCTTGGGGAAGCTGGTGTAAGCTGTTGGGTTGCTAGTTCTCAAGATGTCGGTGGATATCCTGTGATCAACAATATTATCTGAGATTCTGGTGGCCAGACTGACTGCTGTCCTTCTCCCGACTATCCTGAGACCATGGGAGTCATTGCTAGTGGGGCAGTGGGGCAGGGGGGAGACCTTGCTACTAGCAATGGTATATTGGGTGGGTGGGCTTCCTCTGTGGACTGCAAAATGGCTTTCCGAAAAGTTCCACAGAGCAGCTCAAGGTCAAGATCAAAGCCATGGGCTCTTTCACCTCAGGTGTGTTGATTTCCTTGACTTGCAAAGGTGGGAGGAATTCTAGCTGAGGAAGTCCTTGCAGGGAAAGGGGTCAGCTCTGTGGGCAATGCCTGGCTCCTCTGGGAAAGCTGAACACTTCTGCTTAGGGGGTCAAGAAGGGAACAGCTAGTGGGGAGGGCTCAGGGCAGTTGGATTAAGAATTCAGTGATGTCACTTCTCTGATGTTGGTGCCTCTTACTTGATGCTCAGACCAGCTTATAAAACTGGAGGTATCGGGTGCCAAGAAGCCCTGGGATAAATTGCTCTGCAACGCAGATAAGACCTTATTTTTCTTCAAATTCAGATTTCTATCTATGCTTCCTTCTTCTTCTGCAGGGTTGGGTGTGGCTGTGTGGTGCAGAACTAACCATCAATAAGAGTTAATCCCTAAGTCCTAATCGATTTCTTCTTCTTTGCTAGTAATTATTCTAGGCATTTTATCTATATAATAAATCACTATTTACTACAGAGCCCCATATGGCAGGTAACGAGGTATATTGCTATTCTCTGTTTGGCCTTGTACAAATTAGTTCTCTAAGCTTTAATTTATTAATTGACCCATTTATTTATTGGATGCTATCATCCCTAATTTACATTTATTTATTTTGTGTGTGTATCACAGATCATGTGTGTGGAGATGTCAAAGGACAACTTATCATCCTTAATTTAAATTACGTTTATTTATTTTGTGTGTATATCAGGTATATGTGTGTCCTAGGTGTATGCGTGTGGGGAGGTCAAAGGACAACTTGGCAGAGTTGGGAGCAGTTTTTTTTTTTTTTAGGTTTTTCGAGACAGGGTTTCTCTGTGCAGCTTTGCGCCTTTCCTGGATCTCGCTCTCTAGACCAGGCTGGCCTCGAACTCACAGAGATCCGCCTGCCTCTGCCTCCCAAGTGCTGGGATTAAAGGCGTGCGCCGCCACCGCCCGGCGGGAGTAGGTTTTATTCTTCTAGCACTCAAGTCGACTGCCTTGGTCGGAAGCTTGGTGGTAAGCGCCTTAACCTACTGAGCCATCTTGCTGGCTGCCACCACGGAGATTTTCTTTCCTTTTCTTTTTAACAATGGATGAATGAGAAGATGCAAATTACAGTTGCCTAAAGACTACACATGTGAAATGTGTGTTCATAATATATACATGTGGAATACAGACATAAATTAAGTTGAAATTCGGGATCACACTCAGGCAGCATCTTTGCCATCTGTAGGCTCCCTCTATCAGAAGAGAGGGAGTGAGAAGCCAGCTTGCTCTAGAAAAGTAGGCTTTGGGTGTCCTGAGGTGATGGGGCAGTAAACAGGTCCCAGCAATCGCCTCTTTTTCAGACTCATTTCTAAGCCTGTAGCTCTAATGTTATCTAAGCCAAGGGAATGTTGCCCTTTTCCTGATCAATACAATTTTCCATGTAACTACGGGATGCTAGGGTGACCAACCCTCCGTATGTGGAGATGGATGGGTTTCCCAACGTGAGATTTCAGAGCTAAAAGTAGGAATGCTCTGAACAGACCAGGATGAATTGGTTTCTTTAGTAAAATCTAGTGAACATGCAATGCCACTTAGAGTCTCTCTGCTTGTGCAGATGGACCTGCTCCTTCTGGAATGTTCTTTCTGCTCATCTTCATTTAGTTGACTAAGACTGGCCTCTCTCTCCCCTGTAACCTCCTTCCTCTGGGCCTTCATAGTTGCTCTTTAACTTATCACACACGTGATAGCCACGTCTTGTGTCTGCCCTGCTTTTTCTAACCGTCTCTCGAGCTCCTTGGAGGGCTTTCCCTCAATTAAAAAACATATGAAACATTTTCAACAGACACAAATAGGACAAGTTGCCCAATTAACCACTATATGCCTCCACAGTGCAGAAGTAACAATGATCAATGCTCATTCTTCTTACAAATTTGTTTCCCTCTTGCTCACTGTTTGTTTTTTTAGTTGAAGCAAATGTCACTCATCTCTTCCAAGCATCGTTGCAAGGTAGAGATGTTTATGCCACATGGGTCAAAGTGTCCCTCCTTCCTTTTTCTGCTTTAAAAAACTGTAATGACAAACCTGTTGGAATCATACATGGAGTTGGAATATTCCTTCATCACATGCTTACTCAGCACTCAGGTGTGTACGCCTGTCACTTTTTGGTTTTGTTTTTTGTTTTTGGAGGCAGGGTCTGTCTGCGCTCTGATTGTCCTGGTTGTCTCACTCTGTAGACCAGGCTGGGCTTCAACTCACAGAGATCTGCCTGCCTCTGCCTTCCAAGTGCTGGGATTAAAGACCTGTACCACCACCATATGGCTTGACAGAGACGCTTATACCATCAGGAGTCTCTTTCCTTCGCCCTGCCTCTTATTTATGGAGGATATCGAGTCTTTTGACTTAGGAGACTTCTCACATCATATCATAGCTTTTTTCCCTCTTTAAAGAATTCATTTACTTTATGAAATCACTAAGTAAAAAACATGTACCTATCTTGTACAATACAATGTTTTGAAATACACGTATGTAGGATGGATAAATTGACCTACTTGTCAACTATATTATCCGATGCACTTGTCACACACACCCCTCCCCTGCTGCCCCCCTCCCCCGCCCCATTCTGGTCTTGGCTGAGTACTTCCTCTTGAGTCATTTAGTATTTTCCTCCACACTGGAAGGGCTATGTCTCTAATTCCACTATTGGATTCTCCTACACCGCCTTGGTCTAGAAGAGGTTCACAACTCCATAATCGTCAGTGACGTACCTGCCAGGGTCTGTATCTTGCTTGGTCCTTACAGTAGCCTGTGATACAGGTAGTGCTGATGCTATGGCACAGTGACAGGTCACCGAGGCCAAGATGCAGGGATCATTTCTCTCTCCCCATCCTTGACTCTCAGGAAGACCGACTTTAGACACCGGGATTCGCTAGACATTCAGATCTCTGAGCTCTCTTCAGAGGAGGCCTTGCCCAGAGCCATGGTTTCCACAGCCCTTGTTATCCCTTGTCAATACACTCTAGGGACCCAGCCTGAGTGGGAGCTCGGGGTTGAGGCCTGCAAGGGTGGGGTAGTGGCAGTGGAGAAAAAGAGCACAGCAAAGAAGTACCAGTGTTCACATCCTTGTTTCTCTCGCTGCTGCGTTATCTGTACATTGTAGTATAACACAACGGCAAAGCATCACCATCCAAAACGCAGAGAAGCCCCATAAACTCTTGGAAAAAATTTGTCCGGGGATGGGGGCGGGGGTGTCCTAGCTCCCGCTTCTTCTTTCTTTAAACATTTCCCCCCTAGTCCCAGTCTATCCCTCTTCCTCTTTCTCTGCTTCTGCCTGGCGCTCCGCACACCTGACAATTCTCAACGCGTTTTAAGTTCCTAGAGGAACACTCCAGGGGATAAAGCCCCTCCTCAGCACTGTGAGTGGAGCAGATGGTGTGAGACAGCATCCAGCTGGGCCCCGCCAACAAAGGAAATTATATCATGGGGAGAATTCCTCTGGAGGACGAATAAACCACAGGTAGAGCTGGTAAGAAAAGAGGTGGAAAGGCAGGACGGGAAACACCGTTTTGTTTTGTTTGAGGAGGGATGCGGTTCCCAGGCCGATCTCATCTGCTAGGACCTGTCCTTTCAGCGGCTAGGGCCTGTCCGAGGCTCCGGAAAAGGCTGGGCTGGGTGGTGTTCCAAGTCGAAAGGCCAGGCCTGGAGGGGCAGGAGGGCGGAGGTAGCCCGCTCCTAGGGTGTGGCTGCCATCTGGTGGTGAGTTGCGGGTAGAGCCGCTTTCTGAAGTCTACTTGAATGTTCCTAGGTCAATCTAGTTTAGTAATTCACGCTGGATTTGATATTAGAAAAATCCAATTTCACGGTCTGTGTCGACAGATACAACATTTTGCAGAAATACTTCCCACAATTTGAAGATTTCAGAGAATTAAGACTTTCTAACCTTTGGGCCACTTAAAGGATTTACGTATTTGCACATTCATCTTGCTGTGTGTGGGGTCTCAATTAACTGTGAGATTTCATGGAGGGTAGAACATTCTAATAAGACTATAGAAGCTCTAGAG